GTTTTTAACTTACAATGTCTCTCATAATAAACCAAATGTTTGTCAAAAGTAGGTACTGTAAAATAATACAGTATATTACTGATGAACATATTCAAACTGCTACAGATTTCCTGTAGTTTGTATGAATTTAGCAACAAATTAAAACATTTTTAACCTTTTTTTACATTAAAATTTAACACTTGTGTAAAATATTTTAGTTTGCGACAAATAAAAGTTCAACAAGGTGTTTGTTCACAAGCCATCATTTTAAACGTGATCTCAGCCAATAATACAGTTTTGCTATGTATACATAAATTTGTATAAAGTTATTAATTTATTTGTTTCAATTTCACTGCTATTAAGTTGAGTTAAAACATCTAGGCGTCTTTAACACTGATACATTTAACACTTGTTTAAACGTTTGATCTGCTGCTATCTTAAAGCCCCGCTACAACTCTTACTCTTATCCTTGTTGTATCCTGTTGTCTCCTGTTTTTAAATGGCCAAAGATACCAGTTGTTAGATCTGGTGCACCGGACGAAAACAACCTGACTTTATTAATACTACGTTACTACGTATAGTATTTTACGTTTGTATGGTGCTTAGTACTTGGGACAGAGGTTTGAACTTGAACTTGGCAGGCGGAAGCGCGTGTGGTAGATTAGATAGATGATGACTCTGCCAATGTCACGCCGTAGCCCTGCTGATCTAGCGTCTAGTGCTAGTGTCACAAGCACACTTACTTGCCAACTCAGACTTAGCCGCACTACCGCACTACGGGTCTTTCTCTTTTCATAGTGTCTTAAAAAAAAATTTACGCCATTTCTATAGTACAACTTACATTATAGAAAGTGTATCATTAACTTGAGTCATTGCGAAAGTAGGCATCATAAAACAAATGCAATGCTCGTACCAATTTCAAATATAAACACTATTATAATAAACTGTATCAGCAATCTGACACATTATTTCTCCATGAGATTGGCAATAAGCGGTGGGAGAAAGTATAGTATGGGTTAAATCACAAAACTTTCAATCACTCTTGAAACGTAATGTTTACATAAATTGGAGTGGTATCATTCTGTTTGTAAAGAACCATATAAACCAAACCTTAATCAAAATCGATCAAGCCTTTTTTTATACAATTTATTAGTTATTTTATGGTTTTTAATTGTTAAATCACGCAAATATTTTACCGCATTTTTTACAGCAATGGGCTTTGTACCTTTTTGTTAGGAGTTTAAAGGACAATAACATACCAAATGTTAATAAAAATTAATTGTTTAAACTGTTTTTTTTATCTGATTTTTCCGTTATTTTATGGGAAAACTACCATACAAAAGATTAAAAAAATTAAAAATGCTTGGAGTTACCATGAATTATTTTCAAAGATATACCATACCTCAGAAGCCAATTTAGTGGTAATAACACACAACCTTTGCCCTAAAAAGTCAGGCTCAAATCCCCTTATTTCTATAGCTACTTTGCTATAACTTTGTGATGTAAAGTTTTGGAGTAATTATTTATAAGTGCACACATATTCATATATTTTATAGGCGTAAGAATCGCCCCATTATTGTAGTTTACTGAATGTCACACTAACTTTTTTATTCTGTTAACTATTTTTTGATGAAGACTTGAAATATGTTTATGAAGGATAAAATCATTAGTTTGTTTATAATTAATTAGTACTTAGGCTTTAACCAGCTTAGTCAAAATTACTTGTTATACGCTTATACAAATAGAAAATATGAACCATCAAACATTCGGCCCACACATTTTATTCACAAAAATACACACTACTTTTTATTCCTTCTGCTTTTACTTTTACACTAACTAACATGGGATGGTAGGTATTTTAATATCGAAAGTTTCTCGTAGTAAATACACTACCATTATTGTTTAACACATATTGTAAGAATTATTCTATTTTAGCGAATTTCCCTATAGGGAAGTACCTATTACCGTAGGTCTCATGGTACGACCTAAGCCCAGGACCGATTTACTTTTTAATTTTGATGTTCCCAGAGGCCAAAAAACACCATTCGTTCAATTTTTTATATATCTGTATCAAGATATATATATATATATATGTGTGTGTGTGTGTGTCCATCCGCACGATAACTTGAGTAATTTTTGTCCGATTTTGATAAAATTTGGTTTGAAGGTGTAAGGCGGGATAGAATTGAATAAGTTCGCGAACCAGCATGATCGGACTATGGGAATGGGGGTTTATGGGCGGTTTTATGGGGTAAAATAGGTTTTTCCCATTTTTATCCCTAAAAACACAAAATTTCACAATTTCTTTTTAAACCATTTTGTAGAGCTTAAAAAAAATAATTTAGTATATTGAAGCGTTACTATGCGCCTAATTGTTACGGATAAAATTAAAAAAAAAAAATTAATTTTAAAATTCCCATGTTATTCTTATGAAGAATAAGTCAACTGTTGTAGTTTGCTTGTTTATGAACATATTTTGATCAAATTTGGAAAATACATTAATTAGTTGCAGCAAACCTAAGTACTCATTAAACTAATTCTGTTTAAATAGGGAATAAATGTGATATTTTTAAGGAGACATTTTAGTTTAAATCCAATCAGGCTGGAAATTCGCTAAGTCTGCAGGTTTGCTGCGGCGGGGTATTATATTTTCCTTGTAGACTGTTCCCCATTTAATGTGTTCTCAAAATAGTTTCTGGATACCAATGGTGGCACAGTTAAGTTGTTCACCCTGTATAAGAACCAATTTATGCAAGTACCGATAGGAAACCTATTCGTAGATTGACATTACGTAAGATTTGGAAAACTACAAGATGGGTTATAACTGATTGGGAAAACATTTTATAAGAAGAAATTGTCAAAATAAAAAAAAACTAAGTTTTACATTTTTACTCAACTTATGCACCTAGTATAATATTCTGCTGTTTCGTTTCAATTAAAACATTTTTACTATATTTTCAAATGTGTATTGTGAACCCCAATGAGTTTTGATACGCTATAAAACATATATAGATATTTAAATGTAAACTTATTTACGAGTAAAATACAGGGTGTTCATTTGAAAACTTTCCATATCTGTTGTGTGCAAAGGTAAGGCTTTTAACACTTGTTTGTTCTCATTTCCCCCTAATTTGGACATGCCAAATCCAATAAAATTATTTTCAATTTCGAAAAATGTCCCAAAAGGGCCCAATTTGGGGGGTAGGGGTGCTTTTTGAGAAATTTTCAAATGTAAACATGGGTTGTGTGATACATCAATTTAAAGGTCTAATCACCCCGACTATTTTGGTGCAATAAAAATGTCATTATCTTTAACCGTATTTACAGGGTGGGTCAAAACGTTTTTCAAAAGGACTTTGAAGTTAAGTGCCGTATTACCCGAACTACTGAACGGAACAGCGCCAAATTTCTTTCCAAGCTTATTCTTGATCTACTCTTTAAGATAACTTGTAATAAGGGCATTTTCCATGTTATCTTCTAATTTTTAAAAAATCTCAAATTTTAAGAATAAAAGAAAGGTGAAAACTCAAAATTCTTAAATAGCAAGGTATGACAAATTTCATACCACGTGAAAGGTCCTTTTTTAACAAACATTTTACGTATTTAAGTTTTCTTTCTATCTCTTACCGTTTAAAAATTGCAGTAGAAAAACTGAATTTTCCATAGTAATATTGTAACTAGTTTTCTAATAAAACAGCCAAAATTCGTCTCTAGACACATTTAATGGTGCATTAACTGAAGGAAACAATTCATAATTATTGATACCCTGATTGACAAACAAGTCGTTACGTTTTAATTTGTGAAAAACAAGTCTTATAGCTGATGAGGACAACCTACATGTGGGCTGCTTTCTGTAGTACCATTGACTAGTCAACGGTAGTACTAATTTCAAAAAGTACTATTTTCTGTAGCATCTAATCGAATATGGTGTACACTTAAAAAAATAGACTTTATTTTTACTTATTGGGCAGAACAAAAGTGTTTCAGGATAACTGCAAAGTGTTTAACAATAAATATCCAGGTAAGACCTTAAGTAATAAAGCTGTAAATGATTTGGTTTAGAAATTTCTGAAACTGGCTCAGTTCCCAATGAGAAAAAAACAGGATGAAGGGTCCAAGATGAACTGACACAAGTAAAAGTAGTTGATCAATTTGTAATTAATCATAATACATCGTTGAGCAAAGTGCAATGTGTTTTGTTAGAAAACTAGTTATAATTTAACCATAGAAAATTCAGTTTTTCTACTGCAATTTTTAAACGGTAAGAGATAGAAAGAAAACTTAAATACGTAAAATGTTTGTTAAAAAAGTACCTTTCACGTGGTATGAAATATGTTATACCTTGCTATTTAAGAATTTTGAGTTTTCACCTTTCTTTTATTCTTAAAATTTGAGATTTTTTAAAAATTAGAAGATAACATGGAAAATGCCCTTATTACAAGTTATCTTAAAGAGTAGATTAAGAATAAGCTTGGAAAGAAATTTGGCGCTGTTCCGTTCAGTAGTTCGGGTAATACGGCACTTAACTTCAAAGTCCTTTTGAAAAACGTTTTGACCCACCCTGTAAATACGGTTAAAGATAATGACATTTTTATTGCACCAAAATAGTCGGGGTGATTAGACCTTTAAATTGATGTATCACACAACCCATGTTTACATTTGAAAATTTCTCAAAAAGCACCCCTACCCCCCAAATTGGGCCCTTTTGGGGCATTTTTCGAAATTGAAAATAATTTTATTGGATTTGGCATGTCCAAATTAGGGGGAAATGAGAACAAACAAGTGTTAAAAGCCTTACCTTTGCACACAACAGATATGGAAAGTTTTCAAATGAACACCCTGTATAAAATCAATATTCAAAAATCAATATAAAATCAATAAAATCAATTTATAATAATTTAGATGAAACACAAAATGTGTGAGGTTATAGTTTCCATCTTATCATCATAAACAGGAAGCCCATGAGCCATTACAGCCTACATAAACTGATACGGTTATGGCAACGCAAGTTAGTAAGGATTGAACCCGCGACTAGACCACTCCGGTCTGTGGTAGCCCCGACGAATCATGTTCATAGGACGATTTCTTTTGGAGGTTTCTCTGATCGCAGGTAATTTTAACAATTTATTGGCCTTAAACCAGAAAGGTTCTGTTAAAAAGCTTACATGGTCAGGTCACAAAGTGCGTATGTAAATAATTTTCTCTCATTCCAAGAGGGGGTTGAGAAGGGTGGTAAATACAAATTTTAACTCATAAAATAATTAATTTGTGTAGTACATTATATACTTAGGGAAGTAAAATTTAATTTATCAAAAAAATCAAACGTTCTATGGGCAGCATAGCACGATCTATGCAGCTGTTTGATACATTTGTGAACAAGTATTTACACAGCCAAATTTGCTTGGCGTATGTTATAAATATGTAGCTATTAGTTATGTAGTTGCAGATTCCAAAAAATAAAATGTAAAACTTTATAGTTTAAAGTAATACTTTTTTCCCTTTTAAATTACGTACGTTTGTTTTGTTTGTTGTATATACGTTGTAGTTTTTGCTGACTTTCCTAATGTCCAGTTCTATCTGAAGGATAAAAATATTTTAATTTTAAATACTAATAAAAATGTTTTGTCACAGCCTTAAGTCGTTGACAAACAGTTTCTACGAGGTAAAAGACAATGAATTAGATCGACATTCTGTTCTCATATGCTCCTTATACGTAAAGTTTATTTTTACAATTTATAAAAACAATGGGCTAAAGTGAACTGATAAAATTTTGGCTTGCACAAAATAGATAACAAATCAAATCAAAATATCATTTATTTCGCAAAAAACAGACATAACATAATATTATGATCCCTGTACAAAAATATTTGCAATATACATAACAATGTATTAAATTAGTTTAAAGTTATATGACAATGTAGACAACTCTTGTTGTTTGATTAATGTATTTTTTGTGTTCTAGAATCACTTTTAAATATGAAGAAGTGGTTAATCTATTTAAATTTTGTCTCGTGATTCCTAATGCATCTTCTAAGGGTTGATAACGATCGTTTCGGCGACTAGGTTGCCTTCTTCGGATCCTTGTCGAGAATCTAATCTTTACTAGTATTTGAGGTCGTCAAAACATAAAACACAGTAAAGATCAAATAGAAATAATAGGAGTCCGGACACATCATCGCAGTATATACCGGTGGCCACAGTAGTCAAATATTTATTTTACAACATGTTGGTGTATGCGTGTTTAATGTTTTTTATTTCCTCAGTATGAGAAAAGATTAATATTCTTGACAAGGATCCGAAGAAGGCGACATAGACGACGAAACCGTCGTGATCCATCCTTAGATGATGTATTACGAATCAAACGAAATCGAGGTAAATTACGGTCTTATCAATTAAATTAATGGATTATTTTTACAGAACATTATAATACTATTACTTTCAGCTGTGACAGCTCATCACACAGTGCTCATCGCAAACCAAGGAGGCGTACACGCTGTGGATCCGATCAGTCAAACTGTCAAAACTCTTCTACAATACGAAAAAGGAGCCAACGCCGTTACATACAGCCTACTAACTGAAAATATTTACGGGATTTTCCAAAGTCCCAACCCATTTGATCACAAAATAGTCAGGTATTTTAAACATATTTTTATTGACATTCATTTTATTTTATTTTATATTCATTCAATATTTTGATAAAATTGAAACAATAAAATTGCCATTTTATATTCAACTAGCTGTTCACGGGCTTCGCCCCGTTTGAATTCATTAGAACTGTATAAGTAAAATTATTTATCGTCAGTCTGAATCCGTTGAACAGCTTGGGTGGATTTAATATCGCATTAGTATTATTGGAGTTCCTTCTTTTAAAGACAGTAATGTGGCGGGTAATGACAATTTGGGGAGCATTTGAATACCTAGCATTTGGATAGCACGCGTGGTTATTATTCACTTATGTTAGATTGTGTGGGTATAGAACAAAAGATAAAAATATTAAGGCATTGCCATCCCTTTTATTGTTTACAACACTTTGATAAAGGATTTTACTTTTTATGTTTACATATTTAATAATGGAGAATTTAAACGTTGTTAAGTGCACAGGTGTGCTGCGATTTGGGTTTAATATATTTGGAGTTTGGACTTATTCAAAAGTAAAATTATTTTCTGTGCTGCATTCTGTGGAAACAGTGTGGCGCTATTTCAAATAATGACTAATACCTTTGACTATTAATACAACAACTATAACTTCTGTATCCAATAGTCAATGCTAATACAGAATGTTGTGATTATTCAAATCTACAAAACAGTTGGTGAAAGTAAACATCTATGCTCCGCAATGGGAAGAGAACGCTTAAGAGAATAATTAATATTCCATAGATCTGCTGTATGTAGATAAACTTTTAGTAATCCATTAAAAGTATTAACTTAAAATATTAAGTGGCTACTTTCGTTTCCCAGACATTATTTTTTGGGAAATAAACCGTACAAGTTCAATAGGTTTTTATAAACATTTTGAAAAAAAAGACAATAAGTTAATGAATTACGCACTTAAAAATAAAACTCCTTATTCACTCACTATTAAAAAATATTTATTAAATTAAAAACATAAACATAACTGTAAACAATCCTACTTTGACAGTTCTAATTTTGTATCACAGCTGCTTGGTTGAAATTAGCAACTGTAATAGTCGTCATTTGAAACTTAATAGTGCTGCACCCTTTTGGTACATTTTGTAACCTTTTAATGCTAGTGATCATCTTCTATATAAATAAAATTAAAGTTTTGTCTGTACATTGCTTAGAATCATGCAGTTTTTTGTTATTTTGACGTTTCATAGCCTAAGAAAGCCGAAACGAGTCTTATCTCAATTTCTGTCTGTATGTCTGTTTGTCTGTCCATTCTGTGGCCCCGTCTGTAACGCCAAAATGTCATTTTACGCGGCCTACTTCTTGAAAACTAGAGTACAGATCAAGATTCCAATTATTTTTCTGTATTCACTGAATTGGCGAGAGTGTCTTTGGCTATTAAAATATGGCCTAACTACTTTTGAAAAATTATAACGAACCATTAAAAACCCAATTTTGTTCGATTTTTGTCAAGTTTTCTCCTAATGTTTACTATTACATTTTATGAAATAACGAACAGCTGTTTGGATCAATTCTCACTTCTAGCTGTTACTGATATGTTTAATTGTTTACATTATATTTTGTTTACAAATACTGCAACATTTCCAATCACATTAAGTACGAAAATCGAAAACCATTCATTGAGGAACCAAGTACGTTAATTGACCTTTTGTCTTGCATAACGGATTTAATCGATCGCAAGTACTATAATGTTAACTGCAAATTAAAATAATCATCATCCACATCCAGGTCAAGAACCTGCAGATTCTACGTCTATAAAATTCAACTTAAGTTTTGATAACCAGGGAAAATACAGCAAATCAGTGTTGTATAAGACTGGGAAACTTAAATTTTTAAATAATCACCACTAATAGCCTACAATCGAGATTTAACAGCGTTTCGATCGCTGTTCTATCAAGTAAATAATTACTACAGTACTGCAGTGGGTGATCGCGGGTGTTGCTGCGACCCCGGAAGACCTTTACGATTTCGTTGTCAACGTTACAAGTGAGATAAAAAACGTTTTTCTTACATAATGGATTTAATTAAGTGCAATATCATATGTAACCGTAAATGAAATTAAATAACTAGGCATCATCCAGATCAGGAACCAGAAATTCTTTGTGTATACAATTGTTCTTGAGTTTTGATAACCAGAAAAAATACCTTGAATCAGTGTTGTATATGGCTGAGACACTTAATGATCGTCGCCAATAGCTTACAAACAAGGTACTCATTGACGGCGCTTCAATGGCGATTGTGTAAAGTGTAAAGTAAAAAAATCACAACTGCAGTGGATGATTGTAACAGAGGTTTACGGATGATGCTAAACTCGCTTTTCCAAAGTGTCACTTTCTGTACTCACCGTGTAATGCAATCGCCAAACATTGCACATCTTTTCTAGTTTAAAATTGAAGATTTGTTTTGTAATCCTACGAATTCTGTTATAGTTTCCATTTTGAGAACCAAATGTAAAGTTTAATATTATTATTAATTATTATGAGGGCAACTCTTCCATTTCGCGGTAGTAAGTCTGAAATATATCTATGAATTTATCCCTGAATTTTAAAACAGTAAGGCCCATTTCCCGGAATATCTTTTTGTGTAGCGGAAAGCGACGCAAAAGCCATTGCACTGTTGTAAAGCCTTATTATTATTATTATTAGCCTCATGTTTTTTATGAAGTTCGAATCATGTAAAAACAGTTCATTTAGTTCGTCCTTTAATTGTGGTTGTGGCATGTCCATTTTGGCAACATGCGTTGAAATGTCCATTTGTGGCCTCCTCTGCGAAGTGAAATGCGCCACAATGCATGCAAGTGCTTTAGGAGGATCTAGATTGTGAGAAGCAACACTCAACTCATTTTCCAGTGTTCTTCTAAAGACAGGTTGTAAAACAGCTTCTGGATTTCTTTCACAGTTAGGCCCTACATGACGTTCTCTTTTGCATTTCTTAAGTCTGTTTAATTCCTGGACACTCTTCCACGTCTTGCAGGTCTTTCCCTACCCTGTCTAGTTAGTTCACTCATTATAAAAACGAAAAACAAAAAATTAAACACAATTCATTTTGAAACATTGTTTACCAACATTGACTTTCGGAATCAATGTAAACATTGCAAATAAATAAGTAACAGCTGATAGAATGCAGACGTTTTTCAGTCCCCATGCATTTCTTATGGTGGATATTTTACGTTATATCTCGTTTTCTGGCAACTTTATGGGAATTCTGCTATTTTTCCCGAGTCCCTGGGGTCAAGACCTTTAATTTAAGACCGCTCCCACTTTTCTGCGACTTACCAGACGTCCACAATTTTCTGGTAAAAATTTGGTCTTACAGAATTATATATATAGATTGCTAAAAAGTGTATTTATAGCTATGACTGAAATATATATCATATTTTTATTTTATCATGTAGTATATTTTAATTTAGATTTATATTAACATTTGAAATTAGTAAAATAAACATCAATGTTTTTTCAGAACACCGAATATAAATTAGCCTTTACAAAACTATATAATTTTCTTGTGTTTCAGGACTAAAATCGTTGACAAATCAGAGCCTCATACATGCAATTCCACCAACTTGGAAGAATGGTAAGTTATTACTTTTTCTTTATTAAGTTATACTTTTATCTAAACAGGGTGTCTCACCTAAAGTGAACCAATACAGTGTACCACGCTGTAACTCCTAAACGAGTAGCTTTTTAGAAAAAATGTCACGAATTCAAACGTTTTTAAATTGCATTTACATTCCAAAACAATCATCGAATACATCAAGAAATAATCATAGTTGGCGGCCATATTGGAAAATGGCGGACATGCTAAAAACATTTGAAACCACCCCAAAAAATATCTTACAAAATACATGGGAGTGCTCCATAAGAAGTTAACTATATAACTCATAATAAGAAAGTTAGCTATTGGTTCACTTTAGGCGAGAAACCCTTGTATATTTGTTGTAACTGATTTCTTATTTCAATATACCTGGTATATCATATGAAAATGGAATATTATTATTATTTACAATTGTTTTACAATTTTAAAACAGAGTGGATCTTAAAATGATTATGTTTATTTTAGGTGCCGTAGGAGCAAGTTATGTCATAAAATCTGCAATTCTGACAATCCTTACATGCCGTTCCGAATTAAGTTTGGCAAATGTCTAAAGGCTAGCAACTTGGTATTAGACTGGATCAACGACAATTTATATTGGACGTGTGAGCCGAATGGTCGCGAACAAATAAAGTCGTCCCTCAATGTCGTGGATGTGGAAGATGAATACAATAAAACTCTTCTAACAAAGTCAAATCCTATACAAAGCATTGATGTCGATCCATTTAAAAAGTAAATTAATTTTGTTTAAAGTAATTGTTAAGTTAAGTTAGCCTAATGAGTCTTTCTGTAATCTTACAGTTTGATAGAAAACTATATAGGCATTTAAAGGTTTGTATTACTTGTGAAATAAAGAAACTTTATCTATTAAGTCAACGCTATTGTACAATTAATTTCTAACTACTAATTAAAATCGATAATGTTTGCAGTAGCACAATGAAATTAAAAGAAAAGTTCTCTCAATCAAAAAAACAATGGTAAACGTAGTAAGGTACCTTCCTAAGTAAATAGTATCCATATAATGATATTTTCCTTGAGATACCTGACTATGCATGCTTTCATGCACTGATAGTGGGACGCAAAGTAGCTAATTCCTAAATTATTTTTTTTGCCACACTCATTTAACTTTGTCGCACTCATTTTACTTTTCCGCACTTCAATTTCAACCAACCAACACAAAAAAGTGTGATTGTATTAGGCACATAATATGTCTATGCTTGAAAACAAGTTGGCAACACTTAAAGATACCACAACTACGATCAGCTGTTTATTTCGTCAGTTTATTTGTCATTCCATTAGACCATTGATACAACGAAATAACATACACCTGTTGTTGCGTATTTCTATATATTAATTTGAAACTGTTTTTCTTTGTGACAGCTAATTTGAGAGAATGGGTGGGCGTAGAAACTCGGTAGGGGTGTCTAAAGAAAGGGCTTGGTCTAGATGAGCCATCAAAAGAGAAACGTGGTAAATTCCCTTGGGGCTCTGCCCCAAAGGCCTTTAAATTCCCATCCCATGTTATTCTTATGGGGAAAAACGGGTTTTTGTCACAGCTAATTTCAGAGAACGGCTGGGTGTAGAAACTTGGTAGGGGTCTCTTAAAAAAGGTCTTGGTCTGTAGATGAGCCATCAAAAGAGAAATTCCCTTGGGGCTCTGCCCCAGAGGCCTTTAAAGTCCCCTCGGCAGATTTGTTTACATTATGACCATATGTATAATTTTACACTACTTTGTAATGAAACAGCTGTTAATATTTAAATTGTGATTCACTAAATTTGTCAAAATTAAGTATTTCCAATGGTTTTTTCTGATTTTAAAATCGATTTTCTTCTGCATCGTGTCATGTTTGGCAATATAATGTTCTATTGTCAAATCAGTGGAAAATCCTAATATCACAGTAACTCTTAAAATTATTTCTTACAAGAGGTTCTACCCACGAATTCATGGGTAAACAGAAGTCGAAATTAATTTAATCAACTTTGAATTTCCCCATTTCATTTAAAGGGCCCAAGTTCGAGAAATTGTCATCTGAAAGGGTGTCAAAAGCAGTGGAACCTTCATACCTTACGTCTAAGGTGGCCGAGGTGGGTACGGTTGTATCTGAGCTCGCCGCTCTCTTTCACGACGTCGTTAATACTTTACTTAAATATTTTTCAATGAATTGGCGACCTGATGTTAAAGATCGGTGATAACCTCTTGGAACGAACAACATACATGGTTTGTTAATCTCATATTCATCGTGTTTCGAACACCTTAATCACTTACTTGTAACAAACAGCTAGAAATAGCTTCACTGTCCATTTACCGCACCTCGTTTAAGAACATAAAAGTAAATAAAAAATAAGTAAACAAAAATGTAAACAAACAAACTATATTGTCAATTGCATTGGCCAGCTGTTGTTCACTAAATTAAGCGAATAATGTTAACTTCCAAAACATGCAAGGCGTAGCCCTTTGGAAATCAGCCAGTGGGGGAGAGCCCTTAGGGAATTCGTCCATATCAATACTTTTCGGCAAATTTACACACTCTAAGCTTCATTTTGATATGCTATATGCCTATATTTTTATATGGTAAATGGCCTTAAGCGTTTACATAAAATTTGATTGTATCACTTTAATAATATAATAGATGGAGTTAACTTATGTCTATTGTATGGGTTGGTTTCTGCCTTTTTTACCACTTTTCGGAGATTGTACGTAGGCGAGTTGCACGTAGATGATATTCTTTGGTGTATTGCATCTGTAGACGATACTTGGGTTGTTGTAATTATTACAATGGAAAAAAGCGAGAAATCCTGTACAATTTGATATAGGCCTACTAAAAATAAAACTGAATGAACACTGTGCTACATTTCTTGAGCAATCATTGAAAGAGCTGATTTGCACACAATGGTATCATAAGAAAGTCATAGAATACAACCAAGTAGAAGAAATATAAATAATGTTTGTTTTTCTTCATTTATAATCATTATTATAGAGAATCTAATGCGGCTATGAGTGGGAAAGATTTGTAGAAAGCTCTAAAAAACAAGATCAGCTTTTGAAAAAAGATAAGATATTTACAAACAATAATTTTGATTATATCTAACTGTTGTGTACATCGTGAGTATTTCACAATGTTTGAGTCGACTTTTATTAAGTCATCGGAAATTATAATTGTTATTCGTTTTAAAATAACGCCTGTAATGCTTCGCAATTGCTCGAATTCGAGCAACAGGTACACTAGTTAACAATTAATCGTCGTTTAACGCTTGTATTTTACATAAAATCAAACTAATTGCTTAGTGTTTTCAATTATTGATAAGTAAAATGTTTGCAAATAATGAACACAGCGAATGTGAGTGTTTTAATGAGATAAAAGTAAGAGAGTATTAGGTAGTCGTAGTATTAATGAGTGTTTTGCACCTGTTATTGCGTGTTCACATAAACATTACAACGCAAAAAAGGTATTCTGGTTTTGATTCATTAAATTTCTCAGATTTCATTCTGATTTTTGTTTGCTAATTTGTGAAACAATAATTTTATTTAGGTTTTGATTTGTTTCTGAGACAATTTCATTTAGGTTTGAATTTGTTATAGTAACTTGTAAACCACATAGTAAAAGTTAATATGCTTTTACCATTGATTAAAATCTATGCTTTTACCAAAAAAATGCAAACTATGGTTACAATTATAAAAACGATGCTTTTGTGTTCGGAATCTTTCGAATTCATAGAATAAACTAATTATTTACAAGTTCTTCTTTAAATGTTACTGAAAGAAGATTTTAATAAATGAGCAAAATTTTAAACCGTTTCCCAAAAAAAGAATACTATTATGATTAAGTTTGAAGTAGGTTATAGTATAATGTTTGTTTTACTTAAAATTTATATCAAATCTAAATTTATTGTTAAAATAATGTAATATTTTCAACTATTTGGTATTCATGAACTTAATTTTCTACAGAAAACTGTTCATACTGGAGTCTAACGTGTTGACCACCACGACCCTGGAAGGTGGCAATGAGACGATGATTTACCAGTTTGACGATGGTGTTGAGGACATCTACAAGATCACTCTGGATACCGATAGCAAGATCGTCTATGCTGTCGGAAAATCGCTAAATAACAGAAATGAAAGGTTCCTGGCCAGTGTAAACTACGACGGAACGGACTACAAGAAATTGTACACAAGTTCTGACCCGGCGTGGCAGTTTGGTCCAAAGATTGTCAACAAAGTTGTCTACTGGCTGACTTACTCCAACGACACTGAATGGCAAGCTGTTGGCGAAGCCCACGTTAAAATGGAGAAATTGCTCGTGCCATTGGTAAATAGTTGTATTAGTTAGTTATAATTTTACATCTTAGAGAAAATAGGATAAGAGAGTTTATATAGACACAACTCTAAATGCCCGTGGGAAAATGTATAAGATGTAAATACACGTGATCAAATACATTCTTGTGGCAATATTAAACATTAACCCTTATTTTTTGCGTAAAAATAAGCATTTTTAGATTGATTAATTGTTGAATTTTGATGTTCCTTTATAAGTAGTATGACCCTTTTGCTATATGAAAATACTTCACTTGCAATTTTAAAATATATCTTTAAAAATTTTGAAATTTTTTTGTTGCATTTTAAATTTTAAATGGTATCTTACAAACATAACAACATAATGTAACATCTGGCTTCTGTAAAGCTTTTATTAAACTTCAACAAACTAAGTAAAATAGTAGTTTACGCAACGATTGCGTAAAGACTATTAACGCGAGTTGCGTACACTACTTTACCTACGACCGTTTTTTAATTACTATCAATCTGGATTTAATTACTAACAATCACTAATGATAACTTTTTAGAGAGGTTATGTTTTCGTGTATTGTCATTGCCCCTGAAAGTGATGCAACGACTTGTTGTATAATCAGCTGATTTCCTGTAATTACTTCGTTAAATATTACATTGCTAGCAGCATTCTTACCATAAATAATATTGTACCAGGTACAATTCGGCAAATATTTCATTTATTTTTGGACTTCCACCAACTTAATTAAGAATACGCGAGTATCAACATGAACAAGTCGGATCAACAATTAAATTGGTCAACTGATCAGCTGATCAGCTGATTAGTTGACGTTCGAAGCATTACAATTTTAATTCTTTTCTCTCAATACTTGAACCTCATTGGTCCGTTACCTGTGTGGATATGAGAAAACTATGCGGATATGAAATGAAACTATGCGGATATGAAAGTAAACAGCTGTAAAGTGAAACTTTTCAATTCTAAGAACTGGACTGAAATGGCTACTTTAAAAAACGGTCGTAGGTAAACTATTTTTCCGGACGTTTTTACACAGACCCACTCGTTTTAACCAATCAATACATTTACTTGTCTAGTGCGCACATATAGAACGATATGTGCAAATGAAGTATACTTTACACAAATTGCATTTTCAGGGCGTTGTCCAATGGAGTCTCGTCCATATAGATGCCCAGAAGCCTTTGAACAGTTCACACTGTAGATTGTCAGGATGTTCACACGGTTGTACCATTTATTCATGGATAAATGTGGCATGTCAGTGTCCAGATGACATGATTTTAGCAGAGGACAACAAAACGTGCAATGGTACGTAATATAACATTATCTAGGTAGAATACTGCATCCTGATGAAGCTGATATTCTTTGAACTTGTTTTATATTCAATTGATCACGACATGAAATATTAAATGATAAAAAAAATGTTAAAGTAAAATTTGAATTATATAAAAATATTTCTTACTTAAAGAGTTCTAAACAACAAAAAAACACTGCCTGCCAACCCTTATTAATAACACTTTAGATGACTTATATATCTACATACACACCAATCTACATGATAAAAAATGTAGTGTATTGGTTTGATTGAGGGATACATTATAGTGGAATAGATTACAGAATAGGACTGGCCTTTGAAGAGGTAGGGGATGCGACGTTGCCACTTCGTGAGCTGACTTTCACCTAGAGCCCGGCAACCCCTCTATTGTCCCACTTGTAGGGTAGTTCAGTTCAACACTACAAATTAATAATGCATTTGTTCTTGGTGGTATTTGTTAGTATTGTTACATTTTTATATCGTATGGAACACAAAATTCATCCCATACATTATTATGGTTTGGTTTGATTATTTGCTACACAATTGTCTTTAAAATGGCTCAAACGGCTACCAGATGCAGTTTTTGAAAAATATATAAACATAAAATTAATAAATTTAACAGAACAATTTGTATAGCAGTTCTAAAAATTTTCTAAAATATTGCTCAGCTTATTGTTTGATACATGAAACAAAATTAACATGGAAATTAAGAGGATACAATCTACCATATTAATTATTCATTTGAGATGGGGACGCCACCTATGAGCGTATTTTAACCTAAATATGAGTGAAGGATGAGTGTAGAATGGAGTGAGATGCCTTTTGTAGCTTTGTTACTGGCCTGTTTCGAATTATAAGCACACTTTAAGGCAATTTCTTGACCAAACAGGAGGATATGCTCGAAACGCACATGTCGGCTGTCAGGCAAACACTAAGACTTACCAGAATGCAACTGTAACAGCTGGAGCAGTAACGGCATCTTCAAGCAGTATGACATTATTTTATATCGTCATAACAACAATCTTTGTGTCTGTATTTATTGTTATGATTGTTGTCAAACGAAGAGCGAAAATTGGGAAATACCAGCCGGAAGATTCGCAAGAAAGAACGGACTTTTCTTTGTGAAAACAAACTCGAATTTATTAATAGTAATATATGAAGGTCTAAATTTGAATTCCCGGTATGATAAGTTTTGATATGATAAATGATATTCGTACTAAGGTACTTCAAGGTTGACATTAACTAAGTAGACATCTCATTACATTGTTTGTTTTCTGTTTCATGTGTTGCCTACACATTGGTATAGTTTGGGTCGTACAAATGTCTATTAAATGATTTTATTTTCTTTTAAGCTGGATTTTATGATTTGTGTTTTAGTATTGTTTATGACACTAGATGAGATGCCATTGTTTATTGTTTATAATTGGATCGATTTGTTTTGTTAGTTGTTAATAAAGCTCATGAACAAGACATAAATACAGTTAAAATAAAGTAGCTAAGCTAGCTAGTAAAATAAAGAACCATATGTCAAGAACATAAATGTTGTCTTCTGCTGGTACATAAGATGATAAATTCACATTAGAGTATGTTTATCTCATAGTAGTGATTAAAGGCCCATAATCTTTATATTTTGTGTACTCAAAAGTATCACAGTATGTATTTTACTATACGGTACAGCCTAAGAATTTATGTTGTTTCTATTGAATGCTTTTTACAGTTGTGTTTTTACAATCAAACCAATAAAATCTGAGTGTATTTAAAATAAGTATATTTGTTCTTGACAGCTGAAAAATATATTTTGTATTTATTTATGTACAAACAATTGTGTTTTTTTCCAGTTGTCTGACCAAAGTCTTTGAGGTAGAACAAATCCACATTCAACAGCATTGCATATTGCTTGAACAAAATAATATGTAAATGGCCAATAGAACGGCAGATTCACATTGTTAGGTCATATTCTCATTCAAGGAATCCATTTATGGCCAGTGAATTTTATTGTAATGTTAAGAAATTTCAACAATAATATTTACTTATTTCTTCTGTATTACTTGTGCGTATAACTACGGTTAACCATTGTAATTTTCGTTGTCATTAATTATTCTGAAGAGTGTAAGCCGTTTGATTTTTGAGTTAAAACGAGTTCATTGTTTTATAATGTTAGATTCCTTTTCAGCCATTCTAATTAACTAAATTTAAAATTGAGTAGTTTAAACTTATGATATAGTGAGTGACTAATGTTAACTAAAAAACAATTTCCATCATAAAGTCGTCACTCTAAAGTTTGTTTTTACTATTTTACAAGGACCAAGTGCTTCTGGACCTTTTTCTTTTTAAATGTTTAAAGTGTAAATTGTATTTTACCAGCTGAATGAATAACCACATTTAAAAGAGATGAAATATTTTATGAAAATGAATTTCAAATATGCTACATTTATTGATAACCATAACCGGGTTGAGGCAGGCAAATCACTCTTTACTTTATAGTATAGATCTACAATCAACAAACTTAACTGTTGCAAATTATTTGAATTATAAAGGTTTGGTTTAATAAGACAGAAACTGTGTTAAAAAAACACAATCTTTGAAAGGTAAACAGGATATTAGAACTATAATTTTTTTCTAACGTAGAAATTTTGAGGCCAACTAAAATGGGCAATTCGCTTACGGCTCCCCTCATAGAATCAATTTTCAAATTACCAATACAAAGAAAGTAAATTAATTTATTAACAGAAGAATTATATGAACAATGAACATATTGTTACAGCGAGTTATAGTTCTTTCAATAGGATAGATGAATGTATTCTGCAGTAATTTACTGAAAGCCTACAGTCATCTTAACCGACTAATTGGGTCTCTTTTAGCAGAAAGCCGCCACTATTTAAAGTCTCCCTGTACGATTACAAATATACAATGTGTACATTGATACACAAAACTTGTAGTGTTATCACGGGAGACACGTGTGGCGATGGCGACGCCGGAAGATGAGTCATGCGTGCATGTCAAGCCCGGTGGATGACGTAATGTATATCTCCTGACCTTCCTTAACCTTGGTGTGTGTTGGTATTATCGCTACTGTCTCTGTCAGCTGATAGCTTCATAGCCATTGTAAATTACATCAGATTATATCGATAACTTCTCATTTTCTAATAACTAGTGTACCTGCTGCTAGAAATCGAGAAATCGCCCTGACCCTGGACAATCTCAACTATTAGGTTACAAACGCGCCCTAACACTACCCCAAAACGACTATTCGTTCTCAATTGGCCCTCTATCAATGACCTGTGTTGGCTGTACAGCGAGGCATTTTGAGAAGGAGAAAACTGGCCGGAATGCTTTTGTTTTATCAATAACGAAGATAAACATAGTCTGAATTACACACCGGTAATCTTTGAGCTGACTCTTTTAAACCCATTGTAAAATGACTGTTATTCGTTTTGAAATAACTCCTGTAATACTTTGCAATTGCTCGAATTCGAGCAACATGTACACTAGTAGTGAATATTTCATTGCAACCAAGTCAGTAAATGTTTGTAGCAAACTGTTAAATTAGAAAACTTATTGACTGTTTACAATTAACATGTAATCTTCTTCTCACTTTTAATTTCCGACAACAGCTGGAGTTTCATAACAATTTTTGTTTTCCATGATAATCTTATGGAGAAATACGAAACTTTAAAGGGCCCCAGGGCCTCACTCTTTAATTATTTCCCTAAAAAGAAAGTGTCCTGCACAACTTCACGTTACGCTTTTTCCAATGACACCAAAAATATGTCAATTGGTTCAGTAGTTTCGGAGGAGTAATTGTCCCAAAAAACCTGCTTGCGTATTAAATAAGTACTAGAGGTCGTCCAGTGGTCGAAAATCGACCAATAATATGTAATATGCAGACTTGTTTATTTTCACCTTACACTGTAAATAAACACACTGTGATTGGAGTTTCTTCAATTTGTTTTGATTTTCTGTTTAAATTTGGTTGTTATTTCGTCACCAGCATGGCAACCCATAAGATCCATGTTAATAAAAAAAAAATTAAACTCATTTTTCTGCTTATTTTTGAACCTATTTTAATTTATAAAGGTATTCTGCACATCTACAGGAAAATATTTTTCTAACAGTATGCGTAGATTTTCCCTGCGATGCACACGAGCTGAGAAAAAAGAATTTAAAGAAACATGCTTGCCTATTAATATACAGTAGTATAGATTGAGGAATTTCTTTAGAAGTTTTAAATATTTCAAGTCCTTCAATGGTGTTGTTCCTGTAATTTAATGAATGAAATAATATGTTTATTTTCCACATAACGTACAAAATATATGCTTTTGATACATAAAAAAATTACAAATATAAACTTAAAATAAAATAAAAACAACATTTCTGTATTACTTATTTGATTTATTTTAAGAAAATCAGCAGACATAGGCAAGTGCTTCCCGTGGCTGCTATAAGCCTTTGTATCTTAAACTATACCATGCAAACAAGATTAATTAACCTAATGTAATACATCATCATTGAAGTTTTCGTCATATTTGATATGGTTAGACATTACACTAATGCGGCTAATATACGCATCAAACAGTGAGTCCCGTGACTCAGAATATAGTTATATGGGTCAAAATAAATATAAAATCCCGACTGATTTTTGACAAAATTGCTTCGTTGACCAGAAATCCGCAATTTTGTGATTTAAGTAGGCGTAACAATACTATTTTACTATTATATTTTCATCTATTCATTTGAATAGAGTTGAAAGTTTACTATTTAGTTACGATGTTTTATATTGTTATAAAGTATATATTTGAAGACTGATGCGCCGTCATAATTACGTAAGAGCTCGTTTACCTTCCGGAAAGACATGTAAAGTTATTGGTATACAAATATGTGTAGGCGCTAACTAAAGCCCACTAGCAACAACTGAACATCCTTAAAATTGAGGGTTTTCTGTAAATTAAATAATTGCAGCCAACTTATTAGTTAGAGTGTTTGTATCAAGTGTTAAATACGCCGTAGATAAAAATATCCTGGTAAACAAGAAAATCTTACGTGACTGCCACTGAATAGAACTTGTTATCACTCCATACAGAATGCAGCTATTTTCGACAACAGCTGACATTAAAGAGAATAATTAATTGTTTGCAAAGATCTTATTTAGAGCAAGATAAAATGGTCAACAAATTTTACCCTTATCAAAAACGAAATTCCATTGCTTTCACTCAGTTCTCAATAAAATTTAAAATCAGCTTTTTAAAGTTGCAAACTGACACAAGCTAATTTTGTTGTTTTTGCCTTCTAAATTTTAGGGTTTTTATGTGAGTTTGATATCACTAGACCCGGCGTTGCCTTAGACATGAAGTTTGAGCGCGCTCCGGAAATTCAATTGTAGGTTCTTCTAATGAAAAATACTATACTACTCCTAGTTCATGGACAATTTCGGTAAGTACAGGTAGGTTAACTGGTATAATTGTGAATATCTCTTTTCTTTAACAGTTTTGAATACAAGACCTCAACGTTCACAACACATTAAGTTTTTGGTAGCCATAAAAAAAAAAAAAATAGTTGTTTAGCTACAAACCCCCACAAGTAATAAATTTACATTTTCACAGTATACTGTAGTCATTTTTCTTACGGGTTTCCTGGGCAGAAAAAAGCAACACTATAAGCAACGAACGTTAATATTTACATCCAAGAGATAATGCTATTGTACACTGCGTTAGAATAAATTGTGTGACTGAATAAGCTATAATTATTCACTGACAGTTTAAAATATGTGAACTATATATAAGAATATGTCTTTAAGACATTAACTGTAAAACACCTTTACGCAAAGATGACGAAAATATGATATACTATTTTAATGTCGGTGTGCATATTAAAGATTTAATACACGAGGACTATTGTCATTGTTAACACCTGTCTAAGAATTTTTTTACGAAAAAAAGTATTGTTAGAATTTTGTTTTGGACCTTTTAGTTGTTGACAAACGTGTAAAAGGCATACCTTTACTTGATATATTTGTATCAACATTTGCTGTTTATAAGCAAATATTAGTTGCGTATTGACAGGGCCAAGTCAAGCTTTTAAAGAAAGAGACAAAACCCTTCGTCAGGAAATCCATTTATACTTTATCAATTCATTACAAGTTAGTTGTCTGTCCACACTAATACAAACTGAATGTTTTCTTTTGGCAAGCTATCTCAACTTAGTATTAGGATAATGTTTGGTAAACCTATCTTTTGACACATTATTCCCAAGGTTGCTAGGCTCTAATCCAAAATTGTTTTCCACATTACCTTAGGTTAGGGTTTATAAGGGTTGCCGAATTATGCCTAGGATACAAATCCATATTGTTTTCAATGAGTTGAGACGACAAGGTCGTGCAAAAAATGTACAAATATCAACAACATAAACAAAAATGTTAATTGCCATAAACTACTAAATTCCACCGCACCGGACAAAATGTAACCACGAGATTAGGTTTGAAATATGTATTCAAACGGTGTGATAAATTATACACGATAAACGTTTGCAGCAATATTTAAATCTAAATTTTCATCTCGGTCAATAATAGGTTATTTACGTTTTAATGCCGTAAAAACCAATACATTGATGGGATGACAACTCATGATGACGGATTAATGAGAATTTTGCATGTTCGAATCCTTATGTAGCTTCTCAGCTTAGTATTGGTTTATAACCTGTATGCATAAATATACTTTGAATAAATCAACCTTTTAATAAACAGACATCATATTCAATTCAAACTAAGGAAATGAGTGTAAAGTTGTAATTCGAACAGTAAAAATACATAACA